ATTCAAATTTACATCAAGATAGCAGCCAAGGCTGAATTAATTGATATTTACAAAAATAAAGCAAGTAGGCAAATATAAAAACATTAAAATGTTGGTGAAAGAGGAATGTCTTGAGACTTGACATTAAAAAGTCCATTTTCATTTCTGATGCTGGTTTTAGGATGGCAATTCTCATATTATCTAAAAAATCTAAACTAAAACTATTATAATGACATCTAATAAACCAATTCAAAAATCAACAACCAATTCTAGTTCCATATCTATAAATGTCTTGACATTGACAAATTTGATATTTACCTGGAAGGAAATAAGCTTCAGATGGTTCAACTTTCAACCACGGTTTGCAGAAATGTTTATCTTCAAGTTTATTAACAAACTTAAAATGGACACCTGTCTGCCCCGTGTTGGCCAGGCTTACTTTTTTCGTTCGAGGTTCCATAAACTTCACATTTTCAAACTCCAGCTGTAACGTAAAATATAAAAGAAAGGTTTATACAATTTGAAAATTTAATCGTATAAAATTGGAGTGGAATTGCAGTTTAGTATAAATTAATAACTTACGTGAGTGTTTGTAACTGTTCAAATGAAGAGATATGCTATATCTAAATATAACAACGCATGTCAAAAAAGAAATGTTCATTTTTTTTTTGTAATTAAACACGTTGACTGCCAGACCAATTTTTTTTTAGGTTCCTTCCCATGTGCCAGAACAAGTATAAATGTACAAACATATTATTTTAAAATTCTATCTAGTCATATCATCAAAATGGTGTCTAATAAATTGGCGGGGAAATATTAGGTGACGAGCAAACTTGTTGCAGGCACTAGGAGAACATTTTTTATTGTCTCTGCCAAGTGAGTTTTCTCAGAGGTCGCCCCCTACTTGTGCTGTACTGCCGGAAAGATAACACTACAAACATACACCCGGTATTTTGACGTTATCATCTATGTGTATTTTCCCCGAAACCAACTGTTAAGTCTGTAGTTCTAAAATGTATAAACAAAGAAGTAATAAATGCTAGAATGTTACCCTGATTTTGACGAGTATACTCGTCCCTGGCGCCTTCAGCAACACCCTTTGGGACAAGTATACTCATTGCTGGAAGCCAACATGTTAACAATAGTATTAATTGAAATTTCATAAGAGATTATAATAATTTAATTGTAATTTCGACAATTGTAATGCACTTTGAAAATATAATTCTCTTTCAATTTAATGTAATTTTTTTCATGTACGGTTTATACTTATATATATTTTATTTTTTTATTTTTATTTTATTTTATTTATTTTTTTCTTTTTTCACTGCAATTCAGCTACTTGCTGCGGATATGATTTTAAAATAAACTTGACCTTGAACTCGTATAACAACTACTCTCACCATAATTACCATGATCACCACCACCACGCCAAACTTTCATAATGAAATAAATTTTCAAACCCATACCTGATTGTTTTCAAGCGTTACTTGAGGAAGAGCCTCATTTTCTACTCGATCCTGGTTTCGAATTTCTTCCTCTACAACATCTCTGTATTTCTTTTCATCAATGACTTTAACCTAAATTCAATCAATCAATTTATAACAAATTCAGTAAGCAATCAATCAATCATTTAAAGGCATCTGGAAAAGCTATGAACAACATTTCAATAAAAAATTAATGGAAGTTCAATTTACAATACATTTTAATAATTTTAAAATTATTTTAATGATTTCAAAATTATTATTAATATTAAAACATCTGAATAAATATACATTTAGCTATAAGTGCTTCCCCTTATTAATGCTCTTAAGATGGTATGTCTCATAAGATCGAGCCCCTTCCAAATCCTCATTTAAAAACTTTATTTTATAGCATCACATAGTTTTATAGTGTAATTAATGAGTTATACACTAACAAAATTATGAAGAAAAAAAATGTTTTAATTACCACAATTTCAAAATTACTGCTGACCGGCTTGTGATCACTTAACTTGAGTGCTTTGTGGTATGAATAGTCCAGCTGCATAATTTCATTGCCTTTGTACAGGATTCTGTCGCACCATGCTGGAGCTCTCTGCTTTTCACTACAACAAATCATATTGTAAAAAACGAATGAGGATCTATATGTGATATTTAGGATGAATATACATTTTTTCTCATTTCTCTCTGTATATTTGTGAATTTTAATGATGAAATTAGTAAAACAAAATTTTAAATGATGTGAATTTTTATTTGATTTTTATCAATATTCCAAATTTTGAATTTATAATTAGAAAATGTGGCTTTGCCCTCGGGAACCCATGGCGGCCATATTAAAACGCCAGTACCATTATATCTCCTGACTCGCCTACCTCTCTTGCATGGGTCATTTGAGAAGCCAAGCGATTGACTACAATGTACTGGGTTCTTTAAAGTGTACATGAGCCAATTCTATACATTGGGCCTATGGTTTACAGTCCTTAACGAGAAGACTTGTTCCACCAGCAGAACCATAGGTGGGTGTGAAGCTCGAACCAGCGAAGATATCATGGCTGTAAGTTGCAGCCGCCCTGCCTTAACCGCTCGGCCATTTGACTCATAATACTATAATACTTATAATAATTATTAAAATAAAATGTGCTATTTATTGAGCATATTTAGGGGTGGTACCAGCGGGAATACCAGCTGACTTGAGAGCGCCGTTTTCAGTAATCTAGGTGACACGATCTGCCAGGTAACGTTGAACTATCTGTCGGGATATACTGACACAAACGCTACGCATATTGTTATCACTGGCTCCATTACCTTGAATCCCATCTGTCTGTTCCTGTGTCATATTTATAAGTTGGCGGAAACTTTATATGACCTTCATTAAAGCCTGTAAACACTTTCTTCTGCTTTCGTTGATGATTTAGCTGTAAAAGTTCAATAAACGTTGAATAGTCTAATTATTCAAAAATTGAAATTGTCTGTGCTGCATATACGTTCAAATTTTTAAATAATAGAAACACTATAAACATTTAATTACAATACAACTTTGATTCATTGTAGCAAATGCAAGCAATTATAAACAAACATTCCACAAAATTCTATTTTTAAACATATATGTGGCAAAGAAAAGCCAAACCAGTCACTCCTCAGAAAAAAAAATCGATTTTTAGTTATTAATACAGGGTTAAGCAGTAAAAAGAAAATTGTCAAATAGTAAATGAATCAATTAAAAATCCTAAATTTCGTTTTGAAGTTACAAAAGTTTAAAACTACAGCTGTTTAAAGAATAGTATTTGAGAAATCAGCCTTTAAAGTTTAAAATTCTGGCCATTTCTCAGACAAAGACCATCACCAAATCATTAAAAAATTTTAACGTCAAAAGACCAATTAGCGCACCTTCTGTTACAAAAAAAAAAATGAAAATTTGAGAAAAATTACACCCACCACTGCCTTAAAATCTCCTAAAGTAAAATATGTATATTTCTTCCTAATTATATAAATTTAAAGCATGTAACTATTCAATTACTACATTGTTTACATTCAACAATAAAATTTTATTTTTATTTTCTCCTCCGCATGAATGTTCTTGGCAAAAGCATTTGCTAAATAATAAAACATAAGATAACAATTTTTTTTCCCCGCCTTCCTATGAAGATCTTAAAAAAAATAAGTTTGCGATTCAAGGTATAAAAAAAGTCATGTCTTATAAAAATTAGCAAATCAATTTTTTCCGCATCAAACCTGATCATTTTGTAATAAGATGTCATAATCCCCTTTCTGTATATATGCTTTTACTGTCTCGCTGTCGTAGTAATCAATACGGTAGTTGAGGTCACCAAGCCATATAAGTTTGCTATAAATTAAAAAAAAATACTTTGCTTTCACAATAAAGTACACAAACATTAATCTTGTACATCATCCAGATGCTGAACCGAATTCAATGACAAAACACATTGAAATAAAATATAATATAAACAAAAATTTAATTGTTATTTTAATGGTATTTCATGTGAAACTAAATTTATAATATATTTTTGACAAAAAAAAAAAAATATCTTTTTTTATATGCTATTGCTTTTAATTTAGAGATATTTACAACACTGCTATAATGTAACTCTTTATTTATGTTTTTAAAATATCAATATTTAAACAATGTGCTGTTTTAGTGAACTATGAAGTCAAATTTATTGAAATTTGAACTTAAATTGTACTTTCTATTTCATAATGAATTCCATAATATTCTAAAGTCAATAATATAGCTTTTTAAGAAAAAAAAATTATATCTGTATTAGGAATCTAGCCAAATACCTTTCAATTATTAAGAGGATAAAGTATTGCATAAAAATACTGGTCTTTCTCCAATTACCACTTTGGGAATGGGATTTTTTATAGTCTTTATAGCAGCTCTCTCTAATTAGAATAATGAGTTAATATGGGACCATAGAAAAGTGGTCATTATTTAGAGGTGGTCCTTTATTGGAGGGGTCTTAAATTAGATAGGAGACTTGTATAAGATGAAAAATATACTTACTCGTGGTGAAACACACTTAAGGCTGTTTTACCTTCCCTCTCAAACATCATTCTTTGACAAATGTCATGAAAATCCTAACAAAAATCAAAAGCATGTATTAAAACTAAAACCTCAATAATTTAAGAATAAACAAAACTCATCCAACAAAGATAGCATAAATACATTATGTATCAACTTAAGTAGATAGAAAATATTACAGAATACAGTAGGCCTACATGTCCTTATATAATAAAATACTCTGATTTATTTTTTTATGCATTTTGTTGTATTCAGCCATGAATACCACTGTGTGATGAATCATGTCTCCTTGTATCCTTGATCTTTAACTTCGGTATTTTTGAATATTTAATTATGCAAAATAGAATAAAAGCACAACACTCTCTGTGAGCTTTGTGTAAGATTTGTTGATTTACTGTATTACATTTGAGGCATGTCGTGGCGAAATGGTTAAGTTGTCGCACAGTTCAGTATTGAGTAAATGACCTATAAAATATGGGAGCTCAAAAAATTGCCTTCAAATCCAAATTTGTTTTTCACTATAGATCAACAGTTTAATGTCTTATTAATCATCTCCCAAAGTATTAGTTCTGTATTAAGTGGTCAACAAATTGTTCATTTAATGTTATTTTGATAGTTCATTCTATTAAACAATGTATGCACAAATAACTTTGACGTTTGTTGCAATTTCTAATTTTGCACTAGCACCCAAAACGTTTGACAATCAGAATTTTGAAAAATTTCAGATTTTTGCAGTTTATAAGATATATTGAAGAACATTTCTGCAAAATATAAATAGTATAGTATAGTAAGATTATTTGAAAAAAAAAAAAAAATTAATTATTGATTTTGGAACCTCAGTTTTGGAAACAGTTTTCTCAAATCCTACTTGGCCAATATCAAATGAATTAAATGTTCATAACTTCGCTAATACTCAATCAATTTCCATGAAGTAAACACTGTTGTAAAGAAGAATTCATGCAGAATTCTGCTGGTCACACATATATGCCAAGCAATAAATATTCACCTGGTTTCTCCTTTCAAATTCTTCAACATGAGCTGCTAGGTGAGTGTTGACGAAACAAAATGACGTGTTGTGGAACTCAAATCGGATTGCCACACCACCTTTATTGCCCTAAAAATATCATGATTTAAAATAACATAACAATATATATATTTCAGATTTTACTATTAAAATATATTTAAAATAAAATGTTGTAAAGTTCTGTTTGATGGGTAAGATGCTTGCCTTCCAATTTCAGAGGGTTGAATAATAATAATAATAATAATAATAATAATAATAATAATAATAATAATAATAATAATAATAATAACAAAAAATTAAAAAAAGATATTATGATTTCTTTTATAACTCCACCACCAGGATAGGGTAGGTAGGTAGAGATTTTTTTTTTTGACTGCCGCAATATTCAGCAAAGGCCTTGAAATTTATAAAATCACTTAACTAAACCTTTAAGTCCCTAATTGTCATATTTTTCGTCCTTGGACCACTTTTGAAACATTTTGAGTGACCACGCTCACTTTGCCTACGCAATGAATTTTAAATAAAAATGTCCAGGTTCGGCAGATTTTTTAGGGTCGGTTGGGTTATGCCAATATAACTTTGTTTTTAGGCCTTAATACACAGGTCAGTAAAACAACTATGGAAAACATACTAAGCCTAAATATGGTCATGATGAAATCACATAATGACCATAAATAGGCACATCCTAACTATATATGGGCATACAACATAATCAATGCATAATCAAGTGGCTGCCTCAGACTCAAACCTCTGAACTAATCGGAAACCTAGTGCTTTACCACTGCTCCACGTTTCCATAATATTAAGTAAATATATAATCATTTGATAGCAACATACCATTTTTCCCATGATTCCTGTGCCAACAGTCTCTGCCATTACATTACTGACAAATGGGTGATGTCTTTCTTGCACAAAAGCTATCAACATCATGCCAACAAGCCTAATTAGCTTTATCTGTTTCAAAACAAAATAACACGCATACAATTTAAAGTAATAATAGTCGAAATTAAAAATCAACCAGTCTTTTACCTGGTTCTTAATCAATCTGGATTAGACTGATCTGGATTACACTGACCTGGATCAGTTATGTGTGTGAACATTACATGAGTCTTATGCAATGATTACCTATGATTTTCACATATGTGTGTAATATTAAATAAATACCAAACAGTTTGATGTGAAGTAGTGCCTTCTATTTCTTGAGGTGTTGGACGATCAACCAAAATAAAACCATATTGTATTTGTTTTACTACATGTCACAAATATCAAACTATAAACCATCTGTCTACATTAATATAGTCATTTCAGTCTGTGAGGATAAAATTACACAAGGATGCAGTAGCTAATATTGGGTAGTAGTTTTTTATCAGCATCTGCAGAAATTTAGCACACAGGAAAATAGCAAAAACTACCACCCTAGTACCAAGAACGAATGAAATATTATCATCTAATTAACATTAATAACAGATATATGTTGCAAACAATTACAAGGTAGACAAAACAAATCTGACTTTGTTCATTATAGCCTCTGAAATATTGTGGCATTTTAACATTGTGGGATGGCATCAGTATCATACATAAAAATAAATGTATTAATCAACCTTTCTGTAAGTAGCAGATTTATGGAGGGCTGCTTCAACTGCTTTAAACCATTCCTCTTCTCTAGGTGAATCATTGAACAAAAATGCCTCTTTGCTTAAGTCAAGTTCCTGGAATCCAACAACATACATATCTGGTGCAGATTTACTTTGAGCTAACCAAGGTGTCAAAAGCTCTACAGCATTTTGACCATTAACATTCCATGTTCCAACAAACAACCTGAAATAAAAAATAAAAAAAATTAAATATTAAAATAAATTACATAGGTCATTATAAGTTATTATACTGTAGGTCATTTGAAAAAAAGCTTAACTTGTAACATTGGACAACTTGTACCAAAAACAAGTTGTTTGTCCTAGGTAGGCTTGAATAAAGTAAATAAATATCTGTACACCTCTGCGCAAAATAAAACTGGATGTAGGATTAATTTCTGATCCTGGAGAACCAGGACAGTTCCTCCTCTTACTGGATGGCATTCCATGAGAGCGATGCAGTATCGCCAATGTATCAGGACCGACAGGTGGCTGATCGAGTTTACTAATATCTCACCTGACTTCCCTATAGATTTTTGATGGTCCACTCTATTTTAATATCAACTGCATATCTTTTATCATACTACCCCAGTTTGACTATACAAAAAGGAGTGGCCATCTCTCCCACCAATGCTGAGGCGATAGCCATCAACACCTTCAAAACTGAACCTGAGCGTGACGCACTGAACTTAGTGCATGGGTTTAAAAAAAGGTCCATTTGGTTACTTGTTAATTGTTACTTGTATAGCGCCTTTCTTTTCAGTTATGAAGCGCTGTAAGCGACTCTCCTCAATAAGTCGAAAACATCCCCCCTGAGTAAATCTTGCATAAAACCAAACCACTTTCAAAGTGAGCTAACTTAACTAATGCAATAGAGCAGTAGAAAAATAAGCACTGTAGGATTAAAAAAGAAAGAAATACTTACTCAATGTCAGGAATGGAAAAGCAAGCCAACACTCGTAGGAAGACATAACTGAACAAACAGTGGAGACTTTGTAGCTGCTGAGCTAACACAGCGCTGGCTAACTCTTGGTAAAAAGTCATTTGGTGACTATTATTATACAGTAGACCACCATATTGGCTACTGTTTGTTCTGCACACCCAGGGTACAGGTAAGAATTTGTATTACCCTAGCATCTTTGGCTTCAGCCGTGGACTCTGGACCAGGGTGGGATGTAGGATTATCTCCCCCTTGCAAGGAGTGGGAAGGCCCATCTAAAAGGTAACTTTGGCCTGCTTCGTCTTGAACTAAAGACACCAGAGCAGGGTGGACAGGACTGCTTTCTTATCTGGGAAGAGTTTTAGGGCCTACATGAATGTTCACCCTGGCTGGTTCAAGTTTAGTGATACTAGAACCAGAGAAATATGGGAACAGCCACAGGAAATTACTGGTGATATATAGGCAGTATACTAGCTGAAACCCTGTGCTCTTTTCGGAAATATGTGCCCACATAAAATGTAGACACTTTGTACACAAAACCATATCTCTCTTTAAAAGGATAGCAACGTGATGGACGAGGACCATCAGAAAAAATGTCTATGGTTAATCACTTACTTAAATGGATGAGGGTATGTGTACTCCGATTCTCGCCTTTTCAGTATTTCTTCTCGTACACCGGCTGGTTTTACAATCGGCTTTAGTTTAGCGTAACCTGCATCATTTTCAAAGCTATCTAAGCTTTTGTATCTACAATGAGGATAAGATATTTTCATCACAGCATAGCAGATTATGCTAAATATTGCATAGGTGACTGCATGTTTCAAAATATAAAATGCATTTAAACAAATTCATATGTTGACAATGAAGTACTTTCAACTTTTATTTTGGGAATTTAGTTTTGGTTTACATTATATGTACTGGGAAATATGTTGAATAATGGTGTTGATTGTTTTATATATAAAATCTGATTGTAATTTATGATGAGAAATTCATGGTTTCTATTGTAGAACAAAATGTCAAAAAGATAGTGACTGCAAAACAGAAACTAGTGATTGCTTTCATTATCTTTTTTTAAAAGCCTTGTTTAGTTTTAATATCTACAGGTGAATTTTTGAATACAGATTATACAAGGCAATTATACAAGGCACTGGCATCATTATTTCCCTGGCCACTGGATACTGAGTTGGAAGACCCCCACATTGTGCTACTTTCTCTGCTCCCTGGGGAGTATCCCTGGTCACTGCTGCTTGTACGCGCACGACCCATACATTCAATGCCTTACCATCCTACCAGGTACCCATTTATACTCCTGGGTGCAGAGAGGCAAGCGTAAGTAAAGTGCCTTGCCCAAGGACACAAGCAATACGGCGAGCGTCGGTCTAGAACCCCAAATCTCACGATCAGAAGTCCAACACTTTACACGCTGTGCTATCGCTCTTACAGTGTGGACAAGGTCACGTCCACCCGGTCACATAGTGTGGACAAGGTCAAGTCTACACAGTCAAATAGTGTGGACAAGGTCATGCCCACATGGTCACATAGTGTGGACAAGGTCATGTCCACACGGTCACATAGTGTGGACAAGGTCACGTCCACACGGTCAAATAGTGTGGACAAGGTCACGTCCACAGGGTCACATAATGACGACAAGGCTTTAGGTAGATAAACATATCATATTTCATATTTCATTGTCCAGAATCAATGTCCTTAAAAACATGCTCATTTGTAGATTACTGAGAATTTTTAAATCATTAAGTGCTTTAGATTTTCTATTGGTATATCTTTTTAAATAACATGAGGGTATTTAAGAAAAAAAAAGTGTTGCTTTTAGTGTATTTTTTATTGTCTATTTGTTATTTATACAGCGCATTTCCTTTAGGTTACAAAGCACTTTGTTTACCCTCGTCATTGGGTCCACATCCTTAAATGTTGCTGCCATATTGGCACAGTAGCAGGCAACCCCACCAGGTACCCATTTATACTCCTGGGTGGAGAGAAGCAATGCAGATAAAGGACACAAGCGAAATGGATAGTGAGGGATTGAACCCCGACTTTGAGGTTGGGAAACAAACTTTTCCAGCTGCCCCAAGCCACTTCCACAAGTATTCAATTGGCGGGTTCCCAACTGTTGGATGTGACTCACAAGGAAATAAAATAAACTAAGTTAGTCACATGACATCAATACTCACTCATAGGGACTTTCAGTGCTAGTTGTTGAAAGTGATGTGTTTGATGATGACGACCTATTGATGCTTAAATCCAGAAAATTATCCTCAAAACCAACCAGCGGTTGTGCCTTTTGAGTGCTGCTTGAAGCTGTCCCTCCAGAAGTCAAATAAAATGAACCTCAAGAATTATAGGAAACATATAATTAATATAACTTTTGAAAACCCTGGTGAAAAATAATATCCATCTACTTTATCATAATAACAAAAACAACAAAGGGTTTAAACCAAACCCAATAAGATTACATGTGAACAAATCTAGTTATAAAATATTTACATATTGTTTAAAAAAAATTAATTAATAGGCCAATATACTTTTAATAAGTGAGTAGTGAATCTGGCAACATATCACTATCAGAACATATTGTGACCCTTAATGAAAACAAAGTTGGATATAAAATAATTAACACTGTAAAAATATAAGTTGCATACAATCAATACTGTAAAAAAAATGGTCGCAATTAAAAAATCAAGCCCTGGCCAGACAATCAAGTTTTATTTGACAAAATCATGCGACATACCTAAATATGATCATGTCACCCCATCATGACCATATATAGGCACATCATGACTATATATGGGCATACAACAGTTTCTTAGCAAAGAAAATTTTATAGTCTGGACAGACTGCTCATTTAAAAAAAAAAAATTTATATCAAAATAAACATCTGATTAATAAAATATTTTATTTGAATGCATTTGGCGCTGGGCATAGCAGATACAATTCAACCAATCAACTGACTGATTTTTTAATCTGAATATTCAACTGTTGACCGCTTAATCATATGTTGATCTTGTTAATATATCTGGCCACAAACATGCAAATAAAGAACATATGTTGAGCAATTGATCAATGAAATGCTTGATTGATTAACTGATTGATTAACTGATTGATTGATGAGGTCATGCAAGCAAGTAGTAGAGATTACAAATTGAAGATCATTCCACAATTGTTGAAAAAAAAAATATTTCTTACATATAAAACATAAGGCAATAATACCCATAAAAATAAACGTTAAAAAAAAAAATAAATTGGTTTTTAAATCATGCAGCAAGGCATTCAGTGTGATCTACCCATATAGGTATGATGACATCATACAGTAAAACCTTGAATTGAAGCCCAGTGGGTTTAATCTGATAATTATATGATAATAATACCCATATATGGGTATTAAATGACATGGATGTGATATGACATCATAATGCACATACAATATGAGCAAACCACACACAATTTGCAAAACAAATTTACTAGCTCCCCAAAATGCTATGCAGGCATTGAATTTGGGCATTTCAGGGGCAAGGCCATTTTCGCCATGATTATTAAGGGCACCAGTGACATAAAAAGGGCATCATGGCCAGTGTATCTAACAGCCTTCTTAGGGCCAAACTGTCCTCAACAGAGGTAATCTTTCTAGGGCATACAAGCCAATTGGGAGGCCTGGCTATGTCCAAAGACACATTAAAGAGGCTATTTCACAAGTCATGGACTCGGCACTTATCAACTAAAGGACCAAGGCTAGGGTAGGCTAGGCTATAATGTAGGCTTTCTTAACGTGGCGCTATGCCTCCTATTGTATTTTCAATGCATCATGCAACTGCTTTAGAGTTAAAGGAAGTTTTAATGGAAGCCTCCCTCCAGTTAAAGATCACTTTTGGGACAGAGTTTCAATGGTCTTAGCAGCTGCTTTGGTCTCTAATTACAAATGATGATAAAAGAAATTTGTTAATTTGGGAGGGACCACAGAAAAGTGGAGGTAGTCTTAAAATGTAGGGGTTTTAAATTAGAGGAAGACCTATCTTGATCTTTTCTCAAAAAATAAAAACATGAGTAAAACACACTTGAACCTATTTCTTTTTTTTTGGGACAAAATAAAGTGAATATTGAATGCTGGTGTAGGTATATTATCAAATATCGTTTGATCAGTGCGAGTTTGACAAACACAAAAATGGCTTTAGGTAGTGGTGTTCATCGGGGAAAAAAAATTATGGGAAGTACATTATTGCATTTGATTAAGGACAGTCAGAAGACAGCAGCTTTCCCTACATTTGAAACAATTTCCTATGATTTGCAAATTTAAAAATGATCAAATTAAACCTGAACATGCTTTAAAAAAACTTGCAATACAATGATGTAGAATTTGCATCTGTTAGAGTTAAAGAAAAAGGCAAAAAATATGTTGTCAGATTTTCAGGCAAATATTCCGATGTCAAGCAACTCACTATCGGTATTTCTTTTAAAGCCTGTGTAGTCGGCTGGTCTGTAATTGTCATTGATATAACTTGTGAAACTAGACTCAATCATATTCAAACCATCAACGTAGCTTGTGAAACTAGCGATCGGTGCTGGTGCGTGTGCTGTCCTGGACCTGCCAGTGCTAAAAGGGTTGGGGGAGCGTGAACGCAAAGTACGTTGCCATGTTTCGGGGGCGGCAGGAACACAGAGATTACGGGGCCAAGCTACGAACATAATAAATGAACAAGAGAGTGGTAAATGTGGGTGTACAGGTATAATATACTGATAGGTTGGCAGAATGGGCATGCATAGTAAATGTTTGTAAAAGTGTTAATTCAGAGAAATATTGGATAACTACAATTATTAAATAACAAGAGATATATGAAGCAGATGGAAATTGACTGGCATGCAATATATAGTACTTCACCCTTGAAATATTACATATATAATATAAATACAACATAAGAAGGCACTTATTACAATGCTAAAAAAGACAATTAACTGTATAATTATAGCTTGGATTATCTTTTCTTAGCAGTATAATTAGAGTTTATACTGCAAACTATATAATTATATTGCTGCATTGTCATTTTTAGCAATGTACAGTAGGTATACGGCCTTCCCATGGCAAAACAACGTAACTGCTATAGTATCTTTTTGTGCAGTTACAAGTATGTTGTTTTTGTCTTGGAACAGTGTGTATATTAATATAGTTTGTAGTGTATTTAACTATTATATAGTTTGCAGTGTAGACTATTTAATTATACAGATGGTTTGTCTTTTTTTAGCTGTATAATTATATAGTTTACACTTCAAACTATGTAATTTATTGGTGCATTGTCATTTTTAACATTGTAGATGTATAATTATATAGTTTACTATATAATTGTGCAGCTGAAGAAAGACAATGCAGCTGTATCATTATATAGTTTGCAACTGAGTAAATCTACAAAAACTCTAATATTAACATTAAATGCTCATTAATTAACAACTTCCATTGTGATTCTAATCAAAGTAATCATGATTTAGATTTCGATTACAATCCTTACACTGAATTACCAGTGAATTATTTAAAATGCATAGAGTGGTCAGAAGCATTGAGTATTCACCCAATGATTTCAATAAACCATCAAGTATTTATTTGGTTATACACAGCCACTGAGGTATCATATAATATACAGATAATATTAGTGGTAGATGATTTCATAAAATGTTAATTGTTGGAGGCACCAACATTGTTTTTTCCAGACCTGACCATATTCTTAAGGGTATATGTACAGTCATAGTAATCCATTAAACATGCATTCTGTATTAATATTTGTGGCAAAGACAAGCCAAACCAGTCACTTGTCGCAAATGGTGTTAATAGATAGATATAATGGCCAAAACATGTTGAAATGTCAAAATTTTTATTACACTAAACTAACCTTTATACATCTATACATCAGGCTATGCTGTTATTTTTTCAATGTTAAAACATCATTTTTTAACGATTTGGTGATAGTTTCTGCCTGAGAAATGCCCAAAATCGTAAACTTTGAAGGCTGATTTCTCAAATATTGTTTCTACACACCTTTATGTTTGAACACTTGTAACTTCATAAGTAAATGTGGAATTTAAATGATTCTTTGGCCATTTGATACCTCTCATTTTACTTTTTAATCATGTATTAACAACAAAATCAAAAATGTTTGCGACCAGTGACTGGTTTGGCTTGTCTGACACATTTGTCAAATTTAAATCGGTATAAATCCTGTTAAACAGTAAAAAGCTAATTAGAATACATTTTTTATTGTGTACATTCTGTGAAAGTGCTTTCAATTGCTATCAACAGCAATACCTGCTTAAAATTACTTTCCCATATTCAAAAAAGATAAAAAATAATGAATAAAGGGAAATGGAATATTATAAATATAAATAAACACACTTGTACTGTATAATCTATTTAAAGACTTATACTTCTAATTACTAATTATAACCAGTCAACTTTACAAACACAACATTTCCAAACCTACATAGGCAGATTAAAGGTGGAGGGGGGGGGGAGGAAGGAGGATCCCCACATTTATTAACATTGAAAAATTTGGAGAAAAAAAATATACTTAAATTTAAGTCTGGAAGTTTCATTTCTGGCCATCTAGTTTATATGTGCTATAGCCACAAAAGTTTGTACTTTAGACTCAACCATGGTTGGCTTGGGTTGGCTTGGACCCTTCGTCTGAAAAAAACATATTCCTGGGCCCCTCGATTTTGAATTCCTAGATCTGCCACTGACCTGCCATTTCCTATAATGTAATTTTACAGTAATTTTGTTATACTCACTATTGCCTTGATTTTCTTGGAAAGCACTTCCATTCTTGTCAACGTAGCTTGTGAATGTACTTCCCCTGTTCCCAGACAAATCAAGTTCTTTCATGGAAATACGCAACAAAAAAATACGTTAAGTAAGTACACAGAACAGTAATTATTATTATTATTATTAATTAAGATCAGATTTTTAAAAAAGATTTGCATTTATTTTCTTTCTTTTGACTCAACAGGTATCTTTTTACTGTTGAGATACTTTTAAATTTTGTTGAAACATAAACTTTGTTTTTTGTTTTGTGAAATTAATTTTCTTTTTATTTATTGATTTTGTAAATGTTTATGATTAATTATAGTAGATGACTAATGTACATTTTTAAATGTTAAATCTTGAATATTTTGAATGTTTCTTAACTGATGAAACTGTATTTGTAAATATAGTATACATTATAATATCTGTCTCTTATACACATCTAGATGTGTATAAGAGACAGCCAGTCACTTGTCGCAAATGGTGTATCAGATATAATGGCCAAAACATGTTGAAATGTCAACATTTTTATTACACTAAACTAAGTGAGCTTCCATGTGTGTTTCAGTACATTAGAAAAAAAAAAAGAACATGGGAAACGAATACAATGTGTAGACTTTAGAAACACTTTATTGGAGAAAACTAATATTTCGACCTATCCTTAAGTCGTTATCAAGAAAAGAACTATTCAATTTCGGGATTTTTAAAATTTTTTGTTGTTGTTTAGGTAGTGGAGCCAAAAAAGCAAATCCTGAATTCTGCCAATTTGAACCAAGGGCAAGAAAACTCAAATTTTTATTTGACAAAAGCATGTGACATGCCTAAATACGGTCATGATGGACATCACATCATGACTTTATATGGGCACATCATGACTATATATGGGCACACCATGACTTTATATGGGCACATCGTGACTTTATATGGGCACATCATGACTTTATATGGGCACATCATGACTTTATATGGGCATACAATAGTTATTTGTCAAAGAAAATTTGATGACAAAGCCTAGAATAGGAAGGCAAGCATCTTACCGACCACTGATACTAATTTTTTAATGTTTTGTGATAGGTCGTATGCGTTTTTGAGCTAAAAACTAGCAGTTTGGTAGAACTTACCAGCATATGCACTTGAGTTGATATCAAAATCAATAAGACTTGCGGTACGCGGATCTCTAATCGCATGGTGTCTCCGTAGAGGATGGCTACCAACATGTGAGTGCCGTGTTAATGGATCAACGGGTACGTTAACATATGGATTGTGAGATGGATGGCTGGATGCATGGGGATTTACGTAACTTGTTGGTCTGGCGTTTGTTTGAAGCGGAGGTGAATACACATTTGGTTGCACGAATGGATTAGTTCTGTGTTGCTGGCTTGATTGAGCGCCAACAGCAGTGGCAGACGTTTGCACATTACTTTCCTGGTTCTGAGTTACGTGATCCGTACTCAACTGCGGTGTGCGACCTACTTGATTGACATACTTTGAAAGCCAACTAAATTGCGGAGAAATGCCTCTAGTAATCTTGGAAATAGAATCTAAAAACATCAGAAGAAACCAATTGAACATATGAAATATTTGGTGAAAATAATCAGTCTAATAATAGAGTAATAATCAATAAAGTGAGAGTAGTTTAGGAAAGTGCATAATATACATACAATATTTTAAAATTTATCGTAATATATACATATTATACAAAGCAGTTCAATAGACCTGCATTTCCCAAACCATTTTCCTGGGGACTTATCGGCCTTACACAAATGACCCACCAAGGGAAGTTCACACATAGGCTTAAAATGAGATGCAAAAACTATGATGATAAGCAATGACTAGACCAGATATTGAAAGACCTACTACCTGAAACAGTTTTCCATTCAATTTTTCTATTTTTGAAAACACTGTGTTAATTGATAGTTGCATGGAACTATTAAAATGCTTACAGTGATATAATTTTTTTTTTCTTCTTCCAGAGAAATAAATAACTATATTTTTGTATGTGCAGGGACATTTCATCGACCAACTAAAACAAATACTGGCAGCCAATGTTGGGGTTGTGACCCACAATTTTAGAAGAACGGTTAATAGAATATTTATTGCTACTCCTTAGCCCCTGACATGCTTGTGTAGAATCCATTCTCTTGAAGATGATGATACTCTAGAGAACACTGTTGAAGTCACTACTTACAGACAAGCTAAAAAACTAAGCCTGAATGTAATGTATGCACATCGTATCCAAACTGAAATTCAGACCCCGTTTCCAATGTGCTGAACACCAGAGCCCCTATTCTTACACATTGTTTCGATTTCTGATCAGTTTTGTAGGCCTTTCAATAAAAAAATTTGGATTCAGTGTGAAATTCATCGATACAATTTCAATTTTATTTTTTCCTCTGCCTAGATGCTTTTGGCAAAGTCATTTTTTAAAATAAGGAAAACAAATATTTTTTTTTTCCGAGCTCATCTGGCAATCTTTAAAAAATAAGTTCACTAAACAAAATAAGAACAAGTCTTGCTTTAAGCTTTGGCTACACTGGTAATGCATGCAGTCTAAGTCAAGAGCATGTAAAGAAATATTAAATGGACTCAAGAAGACTGTACACTTACTTAACATAAGAAGATTATACACTTACTTAAACTTAAGAAGACTGTACACTTACATAACTTATGAAGACTGTACACTTACTTTAAGAAGAATGTACACTTACTTAACTTATGAAGACTGTACACTTACTTAACTTATGAAGACTGTACACTTACTCAACTTAGGAAGACTGTACACTTATTTAACTTAAGAACAATGTATACTTACTTAACTTAAGAAGTCGAAGATTATACACTTTCTTAACTTATGAAGACTGTACACTTACTAAAGACTGTACACTTACTTAATTTCAGAAGACCATACACTTACTTAACTTAAGAAGACTGTACACTTACTTAACTACAGAAGACTGTACACTTACAGTACTTAAGAAAACTGTACACTTACTTAAGAATACTGTAAAATTACTTAACTTAAGAAGAATGTACTTAACTTAAGAAGACTGTACACTTACATAACTTATGAAGACTGTACACCCACTTAACTTAAGAAGACTGTAAAGCTACATAACTTATGAAGACTGTACACCTACTTAACTTAAGAAGACTGTAAACTTACTTATTATATGAAGACTGTACACTTACTTAACTTATGAAGACTGTACACTTACTTAATGAAGACTGTACACTTACTTAACTTATGAAAACTGTACACTTGCTTAACTTAAGGAAGACTGTACACTCACTTAACTTAAGGAAGACTGTACACTTACTTAACTTCAGAAGACTGTACACTTACTTAACTTATGAAGACTGTACACTCACTTAACTTATGAAGACTGCACACTTACTTAAGACTGTACACTTACAGTACTTAATAAAACTGTACACTTACTTAAGAATACTGTAAACTTACTTAACTTAAGAAGAATGTACTTAACTTAAGAAGACTGTACACTTACATAACTTATGAAGACTATACACTTACTTAACTTAAGAAGACTGTACACTTACTCAACTTATGAAGACTGTACACTTACTTAAGACTGTACACTTAGAGTACTTAAGAAAACTGTACACTTACTTAAGAATACTGTAAACTTACTTAACTTAAGAAGAATGTACACTTACTTAACTTAAGAAGAATGTACACTTACTCAACTTATGAAGACTGTACACTTACTTAACTTAAGAAGACTGTACACTTACTTAACTTAGGAAGA